GTGTGTGATATCTGTTCTTACCCAGATCACTGGCAGCTAGTCTGACTTCTCTTAACTTCTGCACGACTTTGTCATCTAACCGAGAGACTGAGCTGACAGGAAACCACACAGACCAGCACGTGGACTTTGTCATCCAGAGAGGGTTGGAGTTGTAGCCCTGGTCATTCTTTGTCAGTGGGCCATAAGGATTGAACTGAAAAACAAAAATAGACATTCTAATAGTATTTTTCAATGTACAGAGCCGTGAATGTTTCAGTGAATAAAAAAGCAAAATGATAATGCAAAAAAGAACTCCAAGGTGCCCTGTTAAGTCTTCTTACATTTCCTAGTAAGGAGCAGTTTTATTATGAGCTGGTCCTCATTCTGTTTATTTATGGAAAAAAAACTCATTGCACATGTGAGACTCATTCTAATCAATGGTTTGAAACACTCCTATCTGAAGTTGGCCATAATCCATCATTAATGCAGCAATAATAGAGGTGAAGAGGAGCTGAGGCGGGAGTGTACCTTGTAACCATCCTTCACATGTCCCCGCAGGCCAGTTTGATATCTTCCACATGGACTCCATTGTCGGCGTTATTCTCAAGGCCCATGATGTCGTTGAAAACAAAAGAATAGAAGCTCTGGTGATCTTTTTCGATTTTGTATGTTTTGTACTGTGAAGAAGGAGAAATGATTTGCATCGTTCAGGTAAATCTAAGATAGACATTCCTAAAGCAACAAAATAATTATTTCATTTTATTTAGCGAGATAATCTACATTGATCAAATTATTTTTTATTTTATTTTAAATGTTCTTACTGAAACTAAGCTGCCACAAAATCATAATTTTTTTCAAGTAATTGAGATGAAAGGGCAAAATCTGCCACGTTTTCAGAAACTGCACTCTTCAAGTAGCTAACTTCATTATTTTTTATTATTCTTTATTATATGATGTAGATCAGCAGTCATCAGTTGTTCATACCTTCAGGGTGAAGCTTTTCCCAGAGGTCGCATCCGTCTCAGCTCGACTTGTAACAATGCCTCTCAAAGCACTGTCAACAGAGTTTATGAAACTGGACTTGCCGGCACCGACCGGTCCATGAAGCAGAATCCTGAGATGTTTGACTTCTTTGTTTCGAGGTTGGTAAGATTTCATGAAGTTGAGATTGTCCTCAGTGCTCCTGTTGGTAGAAGAACATGAGATTCATTACTTCAGTGTTTTAAATATTGAATGTTCAACAGGCACATTGTTATTGATGCTCTGCTGAGTGGCAGAACCACACCCAGTTTCACCACCCTCACTTCCTGTTTACTCACGTCGGCAGAGTCCTCCATGGCTGTCTTAAACAAGCTGAAAGACAAATTCACATGTTAACATACAGTAAGACAACTTCAGACTATTTAAACAATTTAAACAGCATCATGTTTCACTGAATGGTAATATTTGAACGAGAATCATTTTAACTACATGTGGAAAATCTTACGAGAAGGTGGGCGTGGGGGTGGGGATGGGCGTGGGGATGGTTTGGATTCTTCTCCTCCCATATCTGAAAAATATAACAGTGGTGTGTTAATGTGGATGACTTTACCTCGATAAAGGAAGAATATTCAGATCATAAACTCTGTAAAAATAACAACAATGAGGAATACAGCTTTGCAAATGAATGATGAAGTCACTATGTACTGATTTGAGTAAGAGCTCAAGCCCTCAGTGCTGATTATTACTGTTTTAGTGTATTTCCAACATTTTTCCAAACTGTTACCTGTGTGTAAAATACTCATGGCAGTTCAGTTTATGAGTTACAGAAAGTTTCACTGCTTGATAAATGTAGTGGACTAGAAGGTTCATTATTTCCCTCTGGACTGCAGTGGAGTAAACACATGAAGCTGAATACATTTAGATATTCAGATAAAGTATCTCAGAACTTTTATCTGATTTTTAATACATGACCTCAGTATGTGGTGTTAAACAAGTTTATGGAAACATTCAGTAGATCATAGATTTATCTTTAAATTCATACATCCAGCTGTCATTGGGTGAGAGGCGGGTCACACCCTGGACTGTTCGCCAGTCAATCACAGATTCTGACATTTAGAGACAGACAACCAGCCACACTCACATTCACACCTACGGGCAATTTAGAGCCAGCAGTTAACCTAACGAGCATATCTCTGGACTGAGGGAGAAAGCCAGAGTACCCAGAGAGAAACACTTCCCCAGGGAGAACATGCAAACTCCACACAGAGAGGGGCCTGATCAACAGGGATTCAAACCAGGAACCACCATGTGCTAACCACTGCACCACCATGCAGCCCATTCAATTTATTCGTCAGTAAAAAAATAAAAAAATAAATAAACAGTTCATGTGAGAGTTGGTTTGTTAAAGTAACTTTTAAATAAATATCAATTCCATGTTCACATCATTCAAGAAAAAATAAACAAAGAGGGAAAAGGAAAACTCAGCAGTACAAGGAGTCCTTTATAAAAAAGAGATTTATCATTATAAACATCTTGAAGTCTAAAACAAACTGACGCCAATCAGATGAATAATAAAATCATAGAATGAAGAGAGTCTTACCTTTTCTTGTGATGCTCTGGAGTGACTCTGCAAATGTGCAGGCTGGTCCAGATTTTTTATAGGGTCTCTTACTTTCACTTTTGTTCTTTTCTGTTTCTGGTAAGTCCCCTGATTTCCGAGAAATGACTGTGCAGATCTTTAGTGACTGTTTTTTTAAGTGTGCAGGTTCATCAGAATTTGCACAAGATATAATAAAAAGGAAAAATGTATCTTTACTGACTGACTATATCAGTCTTTGCAGATACAGCAGTGATAGCTTGATATCTAAATGTTTTTTTCAGTATTTATTTTATTTACTCATTCTACCTTTCCCTCTGTGTTTACCTGTCCTCATCACCTGGCTCTTACATCCAGCTGACCCCACCTGCCCTTCAGTGTCCCCTTCTTCCTCTATACTCATCCACTTGGCCTTTTTCTTTTTTTAACATGTCTTTATGATTATGCATCGTTTATGTATTTGATGCTTACGCAGTTGTTTCAGCTTTTTGCAGCATGTCTTTTTTTTTTTCTTTGCAATGCCTATGGACGTGTCTTTAGTTTTTGGCTTCTGCGTTCACTTTTAAATTTGCATAATTTTTAAATTTGCTGCACGTCTTCATAGTAAGCGTTTGTACTTCTCTGCCAACATACAGAAGACACTTTGATTGAAGATTCTTTGATTCTTTGAGGTGCTTGATACTTATACAACCTGTCCCACCTCCTCTAGTGCACATGGTTTATTTCTAGGGCAATTTCCATTTTGCAGAATCTGCATACAAATCGTTAAAAGCACCAGATTTTACAATTCCAGGACACAATTTGTGTAATAAAGTCCGAAAAGGAATACATCTTCATCAGACGATTGGCTGAAGGGTTGTCTACCAGGAACCACTTTTTCTCAGTGTTTGACTCTTAATGTGTCTCCATGTGGCAAGCAGCTACAGGCACCTCTTCCTGTCACTCCCTGAAGTTGAAACGGTAAAACTATGTAATGTGTAATCAATATGCAGTCCAACATCTACACCAGTCATAATATAAATATCCCGACTTGAAATGGCAGTCTGAATGGGGTCCTACTCTTTGAGTTTAGCTGCTGCACTTTTGCAAAAAGTTTTTATAGATTTTTGTGTTAGCTTCCCCGTTACCACAGACTGTATACTTGCATACTGTGATTGATCGCTAGAGGGCGCTATCTAATCACGATTCTGCCATGACAGTAAGTGGAGTTTTTCAGTTAAATCAAATTGAAAATCATTTTCTGTTAATTTAATTAAAATAAGCCAGTAGGCCTACACTTGAAATTTATATTGTAAGTAAAGCTATCAAAAAGAAATCAACTGTCACCGGGTCCCTCAAATATTTTATCAAGTAAGACAAAGTAACATTCAATGAGTCCCGGTAAATACTTTCAAAGTAAAATAATCCACGTACTTTGTGTGTGAATGCGTTTTTATTTATTTCGCCCTGAAAATGTTTCGATCTCGGACTTTATTGGTATCAAACAATTATGGTCTGCGTAAAATTTCCGATTATCCATCTACTTAAAAAACTAATCTTGAAATGTGTACTTCCGGTTCAGAGGTCCGCTGCTGTTGGACCACACGGGCGTTGTTACAGCGTCGGCCATTTTGATTATAAGAACTCTGCGCGCAGTAAATGAAAAGGCTCGTACGGACTCACCGTAGTTGTTTAAATCGGAGCTACATTATACACAGGACAAAATGCTCTCGGCAGCCCAGTTGCTCGATGAGTTAATGGGCCGAGACAGAAACTTGGCCCCTGATGAAAAGCGATGCAACGTGCGATGGGACGACGAGAGCGTAAGTTAGCAGCTAACCTTAGCCTAGCTTAGTTTAGCTCGTTTGATTAGTAAACGAACTTTACAGAGCTCGGGATCTTTAAAAAAAAAAAAATAGGCTCTGTGAGGTTTTGCCGGATTTAAAACAACTGTTAATAGGCTATAAAACAGAAATGACTCGGAATTTGTCTTCTTTAAGTGTCATCCAGGGAGGCGTGGTGGGGAATCTAGCTTCAGAGTAGGCTAAAGCTAATGCTAAAGCTAATACGTTACAATTGCCTGCGTTATGAATTAAGAGTTATAACCTTATTCTTGATGCCACTTAAGTCAGAGTTAATGCTCACGTCATGATGGGTGTTTTACCTGCTTCAGAGAGTGACATTAGTGAAACTGGTAATTTGAGACATAATCTCTAAAACCACGTTGTTGTTGCAGTCAGGATTACTGAAAAACCTCTCTGTTTCCCCCTCATAGGTGTGTCGGTAATATCTTAAACTTCTGTTTCCCCCTCATAGGTCTGCCGGTAATATCTTAAACTTCTGTTTCCCCCTCATAGGTCTGCCGGTACTATCTTAAACTTCTGTTTCCCCCTCATAGGTCTGTCGGTATTATCTTAAACTTCTCTGTTTCCCCCTCATAGGTCTGTCGGTATTATCTTAAACTTCTCTGTTTCCCCCTCATAGGTCTGTCGGTATTATCTTAAACTTCTCTGTTTCCCCCTCATAGGTCTGTCGGTATTATCTTAAACTTCTCTGTTTCCCCCTCATAGGTCTGTCGGTATTATCTTAAACTTCTCTGTTTCCCCCTCATAGGTCTGTCGGTATTATCTTAAACTTCTCTGTTTCCCCCTCATAGGTCTGCCGGTACTATCTTAAACTTCTGTTTCCCCCTCATAGGTCTGTCGGTATTATCTTAAACTTCTCTGTTTCCCCCTCATAGGTCTGTCGGTATTATCTTAAACTTCTCTGTTTCCCCCTCATAGGTCTGTCGGTATTATCTTAAACTTCTCTGTTTCCCCCTCATAGGTCTGTCGGTATTATCTTAAACTTCTCTGTTTCCCCCTCATAGGTCTGTCGGTATTATCTTAAACTTCTCTGTTTCCCCCTCATAGGTCTGTCGGTATTATCTTAAACTTCTCTGTTTCCCCCTCATAGGTCTGCCGGTACTATCTGTGTGGCTTCTGTCCGGCTGAGCTCTTCACAAACACCCGATCTGACCTGGGTAAGAAACTAGCTTCTTGGACTAAATCTTCCTTTTTCCACTTCCCATCTGCACAGCTGTCCCAAGAGTCAGCCTCTAGTTGATCACTTTAATGATCACCTCAATTTACTTACACAGCACCTTTAATTTAATGCCTCTTGTTTAATGTCTGTTTTTGATAACTCTGCACTGTCTGCTTTTTTAAACATTGCTGTACATATATAGACAACTTCAGAAGGTTTATTTTTTATATTCAGGTCTAATTACAGATTTTTTTCCTCAACTGTTTATAGGTTCTTCTTTAAATCTCACATATATTTTTATCCCTGCACGGGTTATGTCCATTTCTTGTGTAAATCTATTTTTAATTGCACAGTTTAAGTTTGTTTCATCTAGGGGTATTCTTTAAATCTTTTTTTCGGGTTAATATGTATGAGGGGGGGGGCGTCGGTTTTGTGGTTAATTTTTAACAAATCTTTCATTCTTTCATGTCATGTATGTCGTGTAACCTGCTACTGGATGCTTTGAATTTCCTTCGGGATCAATAAATTATCTTTATTTATTATTATTATTATTATAGATAGATATCTATCTATCTATTAGATGTTTCTGTATGGCAGCAGCAGCTGATTTTGTACACAGCACATGTTGCAAAAAAAAGATAGATATGTGAAGGAGAAGTATTTCATTTGTATAAAAAGGAGACTCAAACAGAAATAAGACTGATGAGGTGCCTTTTGAGACCTTTTTATAAATTATGTTGAATTACTACATTGTTTTTTAACTCATCCCTCGTGGTCCTCGGTAACTTACAGATGAAACTGGCCTGTTCTACGATACTAAAGCGTTTAATTCATTTACAGGTCCTTGTGAGAAAATCCACGATGAAAATCTTAGAACAACGTAAGTTCCGATTATTTCCGGGGGGGCAGGGGGACATAATGTTTGTGTCTTTATGTTGCCACCTTTATTAACCGTTTCTATCCCGTCTACTGCAGGTATGAGAAAAGCTCTCGGTTCATGAAGGAGGGATATGAGCGAGACTTCCTGCGTTATCTGCAGTCGCTGCTGGCAGAGGTGGAACGGCGGATTCGAAGAGGACATGCGCGGCTTGCACTCTCCCAAGCTCAGCAGAATGCGGGGGTTTGTAACTTTTAATTTTGACTGCGTTGCTGTTTTGAGCGATCGCTAAAGTGAATGTATATGCTAGTCGGTGCGTCTTTCTTTCCTCTCTAACCATGCACATCATCAACCTGAAGGAAATAGATGCTGTTTTGTACCTGAGATACAGTGTGTTTGATCCTTCAGGGTCCTGGTCCAGCTGGAAAGAACGAGGAGAAGGCCCAGGTTCTAACAGAGAAAATTGAAGACCTAGTTTTACAGGTTTGCATGAAAAAACAATATAAGACATCCAACTTCATCCTTATTGACACATAACAGTTTAAGGCATGGATGGTGATGAAGCTGATTTGTCTTTTCTCTGGTTGGCTTTTGCTTAGATCGAGGAGCTGGGGTCAGAGGGCAGAGTGGAGGAGGCCCAGGGAATGATGAAGCTGGTGGAGCAGCTGAAGGAGGAGAGGGAGCTGCTCAGCTCCACCCCCTCGGTGAGTCAGGGAACTGAACAGGACAGTCAGCCTACTACAGGTTCTTCTTGTGTTATTTTCACTGTTAATAAACATGTTTAATTTTCAAACTTCTTCCAGACAATCGAGAGCTTTGCAGCCCAGGAGAAACAGATGGAGGTGTGTGAGGTGTGTGGGGCCTTCCTCATCGTGGGGGATGCACAATCACGCGTGGACGATCACTTGATGGGCAAGCAACACATGGGCTACGCGAAGATCAAATCTACTGTAGAGGAGCTCAAGGTAACAAGAGTTTCTGACCCACAGAGCCCATAGCTAGAGGGTAATGTAACGCTGTAATAACTAGAAAACATAATTTCTTTATTCAGAGTCCTGACATTGTTGCAAGAGAAGAAATTGAAGAAATTG